TACACACTATACTAGTACATANATANATACAATACACTACGTACACACTACACAACACATACTACACACACACACACACACACACACACACACACACACACACACATATATATATATATATATTGTGCTCTTAACATGCTCTTCACTCGAACATTTAGACCATAAAATAGACACACAAAGCATATAAAACTGAATATATTCAACAGAAAGAAGCTTCTTCCCTTATCATATATCACAATTGAATACAACTCTCAGCACCGTGACAACGCGGTGATCCACTGATGGTGTACTCACCTACCCCATTGGCGAAAGGTTCATTACCCACAAACTCAGCATCATCACAGCCACCCAGCCCGGGTGCTTCGCCTCTTGATGTACTATATGGATTTCCCAAAACAAACGCTCTCCAGGTCCAGTCACCAAAGTGTTCACGGTCATATGCAGTTGCTATGCTATCACAGTTGGGTTGCGCTTCGTGCGATTTAACCCCACACCCGTCTCCATGGTAACCGCACAAGCCCACAGAAGAGCGTTCATAAGTACCCATCACGCCGTTCCATGGCGTGTACCTCCGAGTCCGATGTACATACACTCACAGTCCCTTGGTCTGGAGACTGGAGGTCTATATAGTTGGCATAGAGATTATAAATGTAAATAAAGCGTTGTTGTTCAAGTGACTGTCGTTTGAGCCAAAGCCGAATAAACCCACCGTTACTATAGCTGCCCTTTAAACCTGCGATAGATACGCCTAACGCTTATGCCTGCCTTGGTCTGAAGCATTCTCCAATAGCCGCGTCAAATTTCAACAAAGCGTTGTCATAAAATAATAGCACAGGCACAGCCCAGTGAGCCCAGGTTTTATATATTTACACAAAAATTCATCCCAATACCACACAAAACACCATATCCTAATAAAACATATACAAGTTCTAATTAATGTTCATGTACATACTGTTTGGATTGTGCGGCACTGCTTATGTATTCCGTAAGCAGCTTCTCGTCGTCGCCGACGCCATGACCGAATTCGGAAGCGAATACAACGGTATGTATCTAGACGACGACTAAATAGCATCACAGCAGCGTCTGTGAAATCACAGCGTATGTGGAAAAGGTATAAGCTATGATGTAGGTTATGCAATCCATTAAACCGACATGCTTTATATCAGGATACGTCTGCTGCCATGAGTTGATGGTTGGATCGCACTAACCGTGAGTGTTAATTTTGCTTTCACTGCCAAGACGTCGACGGGCACCGCTCTAAAATGACAACTTATAGGCCAACTGGCAACAGCCGTACTTGTTATAACCGATGCACTTCTTATAGCTGGCTATAGTGGCTGAGAAAGTGATACGAAGTACAGGGAATGGCTCACTGGCAACAACTTATTATAGTCGGGCCACTTATTTTAAACGTATCAACACGGTGGTATACATGTGAGCCGAGTCAGAAAAACGGTCGTCGGGTGTTGCACTCACTCACTCACTGCCAGACATCAACGGACAGCGCCTTGCGAAGTATAGGCAAACACAATAATGTTAATAGCCGCATTTATTACAGCAGATGCACCTATAAAGGCCCTGTAGGCTGTGGAAGTAGTGCATCTACAGCACACGGCCGAAGAGGTGGTCTGGCCAGTATATATAAGTCAGATGCTGGTGCAAAATAATGCATGTAACGCTACCTGAGCCACAGTATGTAGCGATCACTGCAGATCGATGTTGAATTAGAGGCTGTCTATTACACGGCAACATTTTTCTTATAGCAAGTTTACACACAAAAATCATATATTTTTAAAAGGATATATACGAATGAATATACTGTATGCTCCTGGCAGGTACAATAATACTTTGATAGATTTCCGTCGCCTATTATATTACGCAATCTATACTGGATGCATTATCACTTATATATATGAAACAGGTCGTGGGACTCGGCGTAGTATGGAATATGTTGAACCAATTTAAGGTGTATCATCTTTAGACGGTATCACTGTAGTATAGCGAAAGCGCTTGTAAACCGTATCACTGTAGTATAGCGAAAGCGCTTGTAAACCGTATCACTGTAGTATAGCGAAAGCGCTTGTTAACCGTATCATTTGTAGCCGAGCCAGTGTCTGTCGTTGCCATAGTATATAACTTTATATTTCATATTTGGTAAAAATACAATCTCGACACTCAAAACCAATTTTCACAGGTCGTGAACTGCATCTTTTGTAATTTATCACTGAATTTATTAAATTGATTTCGCGTGTATTACTTTTACACCATAGCATCTGTGGCACACCCACAGGACATTCAGACCGTATCAGCTATGCATAGCAAAGCCAGCGTCGGTATTTGACGAACTTCAGATGCGTCATGGTCGCACTTAAAAGTGCGCCAAATCACATAAGCATGATATCGTCATCCTCATCATCGTCTATTTCTTCCACACGGCATTCAGGGCTATCAGGTCTATCAGATTTATCTTCCCTACTCGAACGACCCCTTGCTACAGATTCGTTGTACACCACCAGGGAGTTGAGATCAGTGGGGACGGGCAACGGCCTGTGTGACAGATTGCTCAACACATGCGCCGGTATACTATTAAAGTTAGCTCGATGGTTGTCCACATCCCGGTCCTTTCCGCTATACAAAACAACCTGCATGTCCTCAGGTTTGGACTTGCTCTTGCAAATTATAAGCTTCTCGTCAACCATCTCGCAATCATAATCATTATCAGCATATTGCATTGTCCGCGAATGTCCATTCTGCATCCCGTCTATCTGATTGCGCCACTGTGTGCCAACACCAGGCACAGACTGCATCGGCCTGTCATCTAGTGGCGTGACTTTACTTGCACCAAAATTATTATCTACATTATACGCAGGTCCTTGATCAGTACTAATGTGCTCCCTTCCTCCCCAGTGATTGCTGGGATCTGTCGCACCATTGTAAGGCTGCGATTGTCCGTACTGCATATTTTTGGTATTATAACTAAAAGTCCTCTCGGACACAACTGGTGTATTAGCACTGTCCAGTTCCTCCGGCGAGGACAAACGTATGCGCTTAATCACTTTAGCTAATCCGCTGTTATCCGCCGGTTTGGCCCGACTCGACGACGTAGCTGCAGCGTCTCGCGTACTCATATCACGCTTTCCAAAGACGTTATACGTGTGCATTCTGTTATTGGGTCCGCGCGTACTACTATGAATAGGGGTATAAGGAATGTGCGCTGTATACGGCTCATTGATATTCCAGGTGGGGTGGGAGTGCATTTGTGCATGTGATGTCGCCATGTAGGGTGCTTGTCTGGCGTAGTTCATATTTATATGATCACCATAAGCTTGTTGTGTATTTCCCAATGGCATTGACATGGGCTGCTGATTCGCGTAGTTTAGCGTTGCAGCCATTCTCCTATATTCGTATGTTTGTTATGTGTAAATATCGTTTGTTGTGATTGTATATGGACAAACTCCATCTATATATATGTACACATGAGGCCAACGCGCTCTGGTGAATATAAATATACTATGTACTACACAGTGAGACAGTTACACTCGCCACGGTCACCCACAATTTTTCATGCCATATATGAAAAATGGCGGTTCATTTCTTTCTGAAACAACTCCTTCTCCGACAGTTTTGAAAAAAGAACATTCAGGAAGTTTCCAAAAATATTTTCGAGAAAAAGTTATGACAGTATTAAATATCATCATTTGTGACTTTGTCATTGAATATTGATCACTTGTGATTTTAAAACTGGGGACTGAAAGCGTTGAAACGGCTATTGAGATATCCCCTAACTTTTGATGCTGGTGATCCCACCCCCTCCAAATTCTAGAATCTTAGCCAGTGCCTCACAGCGCACAATCCGTTAACCTTCTATTAAACGCGTTAAACCTTTTCGCACACGAGGTTTTCATTATTGGTTGGTTTCGTTGTCTGCAATGGGCCCTTTTGTAGGCGTATTACTACAGAACGTAATTTTGGTTTTAAAAGGGCCTTTTTATAGGGAATTTTATGACGGACAGGCATAAAACTAAAAGTCGTCAATAAAGTCTGGAGAGACGTCCAAGCTCACACCTCACTGAAAGCTCACGGTTTCAGTGATATTTTATCTATATTAAACATACATATCTACCTTTCAAAGGGTGTCAAAATGAAAAGAGAAAGAACAGTCTTGAACAGTAGATTTATGATTGAATACCAAAAGTATCTACCACTTAAAATATATCATTAGAAAAATCAATGAGTAGCAAAATGTCTTTACAATTGGTCAATTGACATATTGATATTATCCAAATGATGTAAATGACTAAAAATGAGTATGACTTTCCCTATTGTTTTAGAAAATACACATATGAATACCACTCAAAAGAAAGAAATATATGACTTTGTGACACTTTTTCTAAAAAAAGCCGCTATATGTAGGGTCTCACTCAACTATTTTTTAAATTTTGAACGGTATTTTAAACTAATTTCCATTACCTATTCTCTAAATACTAAATAGACTCTTTCTCAGAGTCTAGAGAGTTAGTAGTAAAAAGTAAAAAAAGTAAAAAAAAGTACACATACATGTTTTTATAAAAAAGTAATTATCTGTGTGTGATGTTACATAAATAGGCAAGTATTTTTTTTAAAAACAGTATGCAACTATGCACGATTTATTTTATTTTATTTTATCACACAGGAATTTGATTGTACATAGTTGTGACCTTTTATATATATAAAACAAAAGTCCTTGTTGTCCAACAGCTACTAAACTTGATCACTCATCTTATGACTTGCCTTCGGACATACACACTGTCAGAGAGAGTAGAGAGAGATTCTATATGAATAAATACTGCTAGTAGAGTAGAGAGATAGAGAGTAGTCTGATCAGTGATCAGGCATTTTAAAATTCACTCTACTACTACTAGTAGTATAGTCGAGATGTTCATGATGGTTTATATATTAAAAAATGGTATTCACAAATAAGTTATTGTCATAGTCTCATAGCCAACTGTGACCTGACTAAAGAAATCACACCTCCCGGTATTCAAAATATCATCGGATTAGTGTTCAATATTCATAAGAGAGTGATTATACCAATACAAGACCTGCCACTTATTCATCATGGAGCCCGTCTATGGCCAAACCACGAATGCCCAGAAGGCTGCCATCGCGATCAAACACGGTGCCACTGACCTCGCAAACTCAATCAACAATTCAACCGCACAGAAGGTGGCCGATGCAATCAATGATGGTGCTGAAGCGGCTGCCGAGGCCATAGACAATGGAGTGCACAATGTTAATAACACGGCAGCAACGGTACAGCAGGACTCTAGGAACAAAGTCAACCAGATGGCCAAGGATGTGGCGGAAGCCACCAAATAGAAATAGCGGATCACACATATACATAGACACGTATATACAAATGTTCAATGAGATGAACGCGTGCCAAGGTGATGTAGTGGAAGTTACCCCAACTTGTTAGCTCGACACCGTAGAGCATACCAAGACGGTTGTATAGCTCAGTGTTGAGTTTGCTACTTGGTTAAATCTAGCATGGTAGCCTACATCTGAAGTTAAAGGCAGGCAGATTATACATAAAGGCTTGTCAGTTTCAGCGACTGGTTGGTGTTGTACTACGACATACGAAACGGTTGACCGCAATGTGGCATACAGTAAAGGAACGATCTTCATTCCAGTAATTGGCTTCTCTTGGTTCGAGTGCTTGATTTGTGTGCGATAAAGTATGGGACCTGTATGTCGTTTATTCATGTAATATATTCACAGCATTCTCACTTCAAAGCTATGGATTTTATTTGCATGAGAATATGTATCTGTGTAGTCCTGTAATATTTTGGTCGCCGGAGTTTAAGCTATTCTATCGTATCGGTTACTTTGGAAGGCGTTCAAAAGTATACATATATTGAGTTGTGAGCGGCGTCAGTGCTGTATTGTCTTACCATATACAAGTATATACGTATACGTGTACACACACACACACACACACACACGCACACACACACACACACACATATATATATATTATGTATTAGACATACATGTAAATACACATTTTATACACATATATATACACATACATATTATACACAAACATATATATATATATATAATATATACACAACTCACACACACACACACACACACATATATATATATATACATATACATATACATATATATATTAATATATATATATATATATATATATTAATACCATCGCCACTCATCAATACACGTACTAAGTTCTGTACCCAAGCCACGGGAAGCACTACTAATGTGCTCTCGGTAAGGTGACGGACGCGGTATTGCTAAGCGCATCGACATTGAAATGTGCTAGCTATCAGGACTGTAGTATGTACTCCCCCTTGTATTTTACGCACGATGTCAGCGGCATAGCTATCCATCAGATATGCACTGGATATTACTTCTGATGAGCGTGAGTACCCATAAATCATTCCCAGTACAGTGTCTGGTATTGCGTTGTGTCGCCAGAACACAAGCAAAAGTCATCTCCGTTGCTATGTCAGTGGTATGCACTCATTGCTTAACTATCACGCTGTATTTGACGTATGCATGCACTCTTCGATTATTTCACGCTGTATTTGACGTATACATGCGCACTTCGATTAGTTCACGTTGCATTTGACGTATGCATGCGCTCTGCGATTAATTCACGCTGTATCTGTCGTATGTATACACTCTTCGATTAATTCACTCTGTATTTGACGGATGCATGCGCTCTGCGATTAATTCACGCTGTATCTGTCGTATGTATACACTCTTCGATTAATTCACTCTGTATTTGACGGATGCATGCGCTCTGCGATTAATTCACGCTGTATTTGACGTATGCATGCGCGCTTCGTTCAATTCATGTTAATTTACTATTGATCTGCCGCAGAAGAATAGTGGCCTCCTCTTTCTCCGGACCCCCAGATAAACCAATCAACTGTACACAGGAGAGACGGGCAATTAGCATTAACAGGTGCGTTACTAAGTGCACACAGACACACTATAGAACGTCATGTGGTTTGAAGATAGATTCATTCGGTAGAATATGTACATGCAACCCAATAGACAAACATAAACCCGCTCAAGCTCAGGCATCAGTTAGAATACATACGCTCTGATGCGCGTGTAGTATCAGCCAGACTCGATCTATTCTTTCCGTTTTAGCCGAGCACCCACAGCATAAATATAGTAAAATAGAAATATAGAAATATAGAAATATAGAAATATATATATACAGATACAGACACAGACACAGACACACTCGCACACACAGACACAGACACAGACACAGACACACTCGCACACACAGACACAGACACAGACACACAAATATATATGCGGAGTGCTACATGATCCTATGCACATGCAGATTACCCCCTACAGAAGTATATATCAAGTATTCAAGTTATCACCAACATATATCTATCTATCGGGGACCATGTAGCAACTATGGATCACGTCTTCATTCTACAATCCAACACCCACAGTCGCATTCATCATCGATTTTACATTGTTCTTGTGTGACATGCTTACCCTTTGCGCAAATACCAACGCCTTGTCGTAATCTTCTTTTAGCATGTAGAACTTGGTGAGATACAGGCAGGCCTCAGCGAACGAATGATCTGTGGTCTATTTTTTGAATGCGTGTGGTCTATTTTTAGAACGTGTGTATCGGACCGATCAGTATGCAAGTCCGATGTACCAGCTAGTATCAGATACCTACTAGCAGCAACCCAGCCAACTAAATCAGTCCTTCATTTGGTAGACGTAACGTGACAGCTGTTAGAACAGACCACAGGCTCTTCTCTCATACGCTATCATCAGCCATCAACCTACGAGCATATCTACTATGTATGACCCTTTGTGAACTGATCTTAATATGTAACTCTCTGTGGGAAGCATACGGACTCTTAACTTCTCAGAGGTTTCGTTGTACACGCTCAAGGTGGTACTTCTGCCTAATACTCACAGCTTATTTGCGCTAAAACCCCCCCCCCGGAAAAAACCCATTCCACTGCGGAAGTTATAGAGGTTTCACATACATACGTATATTCCATTGCCATGAGAACACCCCTAACCTGGATACTATACTCACGGGACACACCCCTAGCTCACATACATAGTCATCCTCTACCAGCATATTGATGTATGTAAGGTACGTATCAGCGGCTTCGTCCATCCTCTGATCTGCGATTAAGATCTTTGCTAGCGATACAAAGGCATCTGGTTGATTCTCCGGGTCTTGGGCTCCTCTCTACAGGGGTTGTAGTCTAATGTTAGACTATTATGTAGCATGTAGAAGCCAAACCCCTAGATTTTCTACTTATGGGCAGGTAATTGCTGCAAGATATATATTAAATATATTTAACACTATATATATATAAATAGTATGAGACAATGGGTGTTCTTGTACACACATGCCCCCAACCAGCTAAGCGTACATTTGCAGCCATCCTGGGTTGTGAGGTAGCATAATGATTGGGTACGCCCCATACTCTACTAGCAATCAATATACTTCTATACACACACATATCTTATAAGCCAGTATTGCATTGGTATGAACGCATTATAAACACCCATACATAATAACAAGTTTTGCTTCGCTGTACACCCACATACCCTACAACCCTACAAGCAAAAACCCACATACCATATAACCTTACAAGCAAAAACCCACATACCCTACAACCCTATAAGCAAAAACCCACATACCCTACAACCCTACAAGTAAAAACCCACATACCCTACAACCATACAAGCAAAAACCCAGTACCATTCTGAGTCGGAGACA